CCCCGGACGCATCCCAGCAGCACAGCAAAGCTCAGGTGTGTCGGGCATCCACGGTCACTGGGGTAGCCCAGGACCAACGGGCAGTGCCGACCCAGCTGAGAGAGCAGCTCCCCCTGCTGGAGTGCAGGGGGTAATGGTGGCCAGGCAGCCCAAAGCACCAGGCATGTTCATCTACACCCCAGCACACAGTGCCCACCCAAAGGGGGCGCCAATGAGACCTGCAACAGGGGGTGGGGCGCATGTATGCCTCAAGGACCCACTCCCCCCTGATGGACAGACAGACAGAGAGTTGTGTATGGGGACAGATAAAGCATCATGATTGTCACGTGTGCCCCCCTCCCCGCCCGAGCCACCCTTTGGCCTGTGCCCCCGAGCCAGCCCTTCCCTGCATATGGGGCCGTTATTTGGCTGAGGAGGGGTAGAGAGAGGTGCTGTCTGCTTCACCCATTGCCTAGACCCTGCTCTGCCCACCACCCTGAGCCCCCAAACAGCACCCTGCATGCCCCTGCCCCCACTCTGGCCATCCCACTCCCTGCCAATATTTGTGCTCACCTGTGAGTCTGGCTTCTGCTTGTGACCTCACAGTCACCTCCATGGCGACAGACACAGCTGTGGGTGGTCCCTGGGGCTGTGGAGCCATGGTGTGGCAGGCAGGGATGGGTGGCTGAAGCCTGGCTTTGAGACTGGGGAGTGCAGGTGTGCTGTATCGCCCTCCTGGGAATGGACACAGCCCACACCACATGTAGCCCTCATGCCCGCCTGCAGCCCAGGGCAAGGCAGGAGGGTTCGCCCAGGGGCCCAGGCCTTGCATCGCGCCCCCAAGCAGTGCTGAACAGAGGGAGAAGCACATGTGATGTTCAGCAGAGAAATCCTAGGGGGACGCTGCAGTGTGTGAGTGTGTGGCCCCTGCCCTGCCCCACTGAGCCAGGACCCCACAGCACTCCTCCTTTTCGGGGGGGGGGAGGGTTGGCTGACTGCTAGGAACCATTAGTTTGGTACCGAGCCAGTTCTCCCTGCTCAGATCAAACCCCCATTGGGCCTTGCTCACCCCGGGGGTTCCAGCCCCATTGAGCTGCCCCTGTGCAGTCGGGCAGGGCTGGTTCGGCACAGCTCACATCGGTGCACCATGGCACTGGGGACTGGGACCCCTCCGAGCCCTCCTGCTCAGGCCCCGGCCAGCTCTTGGGACAGGCACTGTCGTACCAGCCAAGATGCCATTGTGCTGCCGTGGTCGGGGCAGTGGGGGGGGGGGGTACAGGGTGGGCATGGTTATAAATAAAGCCAGCCCACACACTTTCCTGGTACGAGCCCATAAGGGTAGCAGGTGCCTGCACTGGGGGAGGAAGAGAATGCCTAGACTCCTCGGTGCCTGCCCAGGACAGCTGCTGTCTGGCAGGGTGTGCCGGAGAGCAGCCAGCACTGCATCAGGAACAGGAATGTGGCGCGCATTGAAATGCACAGAGCCATCATTAACAGCCTGGTGAGCTGGGCACAGGATGCTTACGATCTTCAATTCTGGTTAGGCCACCTTACGTGCTGTATTTGCATATAGCAGGCTTAATATGCGGCCTCGTAAAATACTTTAGAGAGAGAATCAGTCACAGACTAAAGAGAACCAGGAGGTTTTAAGGTGGCATTTGAAGATTATTGCGCTAATGTCTTCATGTTGTGTGTGTGTGTGTGGGTGCTCCCTTGTGCTCTCCCAGCATAGAGCCACAGGGATGGGGGGTGTCGGGGGGGGGGTACACACAGCCATGGGGATGGGGGGGTTGGGGAGATGCACAGATCAACAGGCAGGGGGGATGCACAGAGCCACGGGGATGGGGGGTTTGAGGGGATGCACAGAGCCATGGGGATGGGCCAATGTGCAGCGTGGGGCAGTGGCTGGCAGAGGAGGAGCAGGACTGGGCACCAGAAAGAGGGAAGGCAGCTCAGGCCGGATTTGGAGCTGGCTGCACCTGCGCAGCCTGGGAGGATGTGTGGGACCATCAGAAGCCAAAGCCCAGTCTGTCTGCAGTGGCCTGTGCACCCTGCCATCCAGGGACGGGGCTGTAGGGAGCCTGGCACAAGGGGAACAGCCACGGTTATCCCAGGGCAGGACCCAGCGAGGCTGGGCTCAGCACCAGGGTGCTGCTGACCAGTGCTGGGTGCCTCCTTGCATCTCCACCTGCCTCTCCCTGCGAGACGCTGAAGCTTTAGCTGTGCTGTAAATTGGCTCTGCGCTGGCACTTTCCCTGCTCATTGCCAGGCCCAGCAGCCTCGGCAGGGAGAGACAAGACGTATTTGGAGTCAGCGCAAATGCCAGGTCTTGGGGGCAGCTGAGGAGAGAGCTGGAGGAGCCAGGGAAGGGCCTCAGTGCACAAAGGCTGGTGGGGATGGTTAACAGGGCTCCTGGGCCACTCTGCTCCATGCAGAACAAGATCTTCACAAGTGGGCACCCCGAGAAGAGCCTGGTTTTCCCCACCTGCTGAGCACCTAGCAGCTCCAGGCCCCTCGGGCAGGGGGAAACAGAAGGGTAACAGCTGGACCATGGGGTAGCAAAGGGGTACCAGATGGGCAGGGTGTTATCAGAAGGGGTAACAGCTGGGCTGGGGGTAGCAGAAGGTAACAGCTGGGCAGGGGGAAGCAGAGGGCTAACAGCTGGGCTGTAGGGTAGCAGAGGGCTAACAGCTGGGCAGGGGTGTAGCTGTGGGGTAATATCTGCGAAGGGGTGTAGCGGAGGGGTAAGAGCTGAGCCGTGGGGTAGAGGAGGGGTAACAGCTGGGCTGTGGGGTAACAGGGGTAACAGCTGGGCAGGAAAGTAGTAGAGGGGGTAACAGCTGGGAAGGGGTGTAGCAGAAGGTAACAACTGGGCAGGGGGGAGCAGAGGGGGTAACAGCTGGGCTGGGGTGTAGAGGAGGGGTAACAGCCGGGGAGAGGGGTAGCAGAGGGGTAACAGCTGGAAAGGGGTGTAGCAGAGGGGTAAGAGCTGGGCAGGAGTGTAGCTGTGGGGTAACATCTGGGAAGGGGTGTAGCAGAGGGGTAAGAGCTGAGCCGTGGGGTACTAGAGGGGGTAACAGCTGGGCACGGGGTAGTAGCGACAGCAGCTGGGGCAGTGAGAACACCAGGCATTTGCAAGTGGCTGTCAGCAGTGCAAGGAACTGAGGCAGATTTGGGTCAGCCTGGAGCAGCTCCAGTGCGGGTGTAAAGTGCCATGCGCCTGGCAGGTGGGTGGGTGGCACGCAGTGGCTGCTCTCACTCTGTGCCCTGGCCCCTTGTGGCTTGTACCTCTCCAGGCAGCCCTGGGACCCCGGCTGTCACTGCAGCTTGCAGTGACCTGGGCAGCATGGGCCGGAGATGGTCGTCGTCCCTGGAGGCTGCATTCTGGGGTGCGGCCTAGGGCAGGGCCTCCTGAGCCAGGAGCAGGACAATTCCCCAGTGCGGCCCTCAGACGCCTTTGTAGACCCGTGGCAGGTAGGGCCAGAGGGGCCCGTTCCGCTCACCCCCGTCTGACCTCCTGCCGTGCACAGCCCAGAGACACTCACCCAGGGAATCCAGAGCCCTGCCTGTCACTGGAGCCTGGGCTGGGCTGGGCTGTTTACACAGTGCCACCCAATCTCCATTTATAGACTCCGAGTGATGGAGAAACCACCACATCCCGGGTCAGTTGCCCGGATGCTTAATGACCCTCACCCTTAACACTTTGCACCTTATTTCTGGTCTGATTTTGTCTGGCTTCAGCTTCCATCCATGGGATGTTGCTCCGCTTTTGTCTGCCAGACTGAAGAGCCCTCTACCACTGAGTGTGATCCTGCCACCCCTTCACCGTCTCCTTGACGAGCTAAACAGATTGAGCTTCGGAAGTGTCTTTCTGTGAGGCCAGTGTTGGCTTCCCAGACACCGGATCATTCTGGAGGATGGGCTGCCAGAAGAAAGAGAGGGCATTGCACCGCTCTGGATTCCCTCCGGATGGCGCCCCAGCCCCTAGCATCACAATACTTCAGTGGGTGCCATCAAACAAAACTGAAATGGGAGCCTCCCTCTCCCAGCAGCGGCCAGAGACAGACAGCTGCTAGGTCACTCCTACCTGCTAGGTCACTCCAATCCTTGACTGTGGGAGCCAGCCTTACCCTGCTCTGCTGTGAGAACCCCCACTCCTGGGCTGTTCATGCACAGCCTCTGGCCTAAAGCTGCTCCTTTGATAGTGCAACCGAATAACACTAGCCAATATCTCTGGTCCCAGACAACCCAAGGAACCTCCGTCTTGCAGTGTCCAGTTATGCCCACTGGACGCTGCAAACTTATATGAGTTCATCAATTTAACAAAGAAATTGATATGTCCCACGCTTGTTATCCCAAGGGGAGTCTCTGACACGCTTCAAACCAAACTCACTGCTCCAGGTAGAATAAACAAACAGATTTATTAACTATAAAGATCGATTTTAAGTGATTATAAGTCAAAACATAACAAGTCGGATTTGGTCAAATGAAATAAAAGCAAAACGCATTCTAATCTGATCTTAACACTTTCAATGTCCTTCAGTTGCTTGGTGTGGTGTCTGTAGACGGAGGTGGAAGAGAGACCATGGCAAACGTCTCTCCCTTTTATCATGTCCTTTCTTCCCTCTTGGCTTTGCCCCCCCTTCAGAGTCAGGTGAGCATTACCTCATCCCAGTCCCAAACTGACCAAAGGAAAGGGAGTGACTCACTCAAGAGTCCATCAGATTCTTTTGTTGCTGCCTAGGCCAGCGTCCTTTATTCCTGTGAGGTTGGGCTGGGTTTGTCCCATACATGCCTTGGTGAGGTGTAAACTGCCCCTCTGCTCTTAGAGAGTTTTTCCCTGGGCTTTCTTTAAGCCATGAGGATACATTTTCAGCCTCATAACAATATACATGAAATTACAACCTATAACATTACTATAGTATTAATTATTCAGTACATCATGAGCCTTCCGAAGACACCCGACATGACAAACTTTGCATTGGATACCACACAATCATATTATAAGGATGAACATGGGGGTGCAGGGTGTTCCCCCGAGGTACAGAGTGTCACAGAGGTTGCACAGACAGACCCGGGAGCACAGGGAACAGGGACTGCGCAGCAGTCACAGCCCAGCAGCCACCGTCCAGCCTTTTGTAGGCAGCAGGCCTAGCTGGGGCTTGGAGAGGTTTAAGGCTGAGAACATGGTGGTTTTGCTTGTCCATGGCATAAGGGCAGGTGGGGGAGGGAGTGAGAAGGTGCTTCTGGGATGAGCTAACTGATGGGTGCTGAAGGCTGCATCATTACTGGGGGGAAGGGGGGAATGGTGATGGCTCAGTGCCATCTAAAAGAAGAGTTAGTTGGGCAGGCCATAGCTGGGAAGGGCTGACATGTTGTTTATGTTCAGTGCCGTGGAGGAGGGGGGACCAGCATAGGGAGGCACAGGGGGGTGACCCGCTGAGCCCAATGAGCCAGGCAATGATCTGGCAGTAGCTTTTCGAAAGGGTTTAAGGGGAGAAGATGGGGTTTGTCAAGACCAGAGAGGAGGAGGATGTGGTCATGAAGGTGAGAGATGATGAGGGCCTGGGCCAGAGACACAGCTGTGTGGCCAAAGGACAGGCTGGGTCTTAGACACGCCGGGCTGTAAGGAGAGATGTGATCCAGACACAGCGTGGATGTCTAGAGAGAGGGACAAGTCAAAGGCAATGCCCAGGTTACGGGTGTGATGGCGATGGCGGGGGACCGAGAGAGCAGGGTGCTGGGAGGGCTTGGGGGACAGGTTAAGTGTTCTGTTTTGGCCAGGTTGAGATTCAGGGTCTGTCTTCAGGGCACAGTTAACTCGAGCTCCCTACGCTCCGGTGACTCCTCTCGAGTCAGCCCAGCCCACGTGAGAGCAGCCCCGCTGTGCACAGGCGCTTACATGGACATGCAGAGCACCAGCTGGAGGGGACCCGGGCAGCCCTGTCCCCTGTGTTGCCAACTCTCATGAGTTTGTCATGAGCCTCATGATAATTATTGTTTTCCTGAAAGCCCCAGCTCCTGGAGCCAAGTGGAGATGTGATAACTTCAGCCTTTATTCTTAAAGAAAAAGTCAGTTTCTGGCCCTCATGGCTGTAGAGAAAGCGTTAAAATGTGACCCCCGTGCACACCAGAGGTTCAAAAAGCAGAAGGCAAATCAAAAGCACCCCAATATTATTTACAGACTCACAGGATTTTAAAGCCAATCTCGTGATTTTTGGTGAGCCTGACTCATGCTTTTTGAACATTTGGGGTTGGCAATGCTGGCACTCGGAGGGGGCCTGGGTCAGCATGGGTCCTTCGGTGATACAGCCCTGCCCCGAGAAGCAGCAGGGGCCCCAGGCAGCAGTGCAGCACGCCGAGGCCCTCTGACAGCCCCAGGAAGAAGTCAAGAAACTCGTAGAATTGGCAGCTGGCGTCGAGCAGCTGCCTCCGCATCAGTGAGTCCAAGAGCAGAGCTGTCCCGTACAGCACCCAGAGAAGGAAGAACAGACACGTCACCCCGACCCGCAGCTGACAGTCACTCTTGCGCCATGTCAGCATTGCCTTGGCCACGCCCAGTGCGGCAGGGAGCAGAATGAAAACAGCCAGGCAGGATGTGACGTGGGCCAGGTGCCACCAGTGCGTGTCCCTCATCATACACAGCTCCTGCGGGTGCCCCTCCGTCCCACTCAGCAAGGCAGCTGGCACTGCCAGGAGGATAGCTGCCACCCAGAGAGCCACGGCCATGCACCAGTGGTGCCGTCTGGGAACCCATTTGTCCCACATGGCACTGCATGCACCGGCAGCTACCAGCAGCCCTTGAGCAAAGAGGCTCCCGTACCACAGCATGTACGCCACCTTGCAGAGCCCGTCACCAATGACCCAACCTTGGCTGATGCCTGCAGCAAAAAATGGCAGCATGGCTGTGAAGATGGTGGTGCCAAGCGTCAGCTGGAACAGGGAGGCTCTGCCAAGGGGCCAGCCCCAAAGACCCCAGCAGTTGGCCAAGGCCACCACCAGGGCCAGGTTACTCAACAGGCCCAGGGCACAGACTACAGCCAGGAAGTTGAAGGCATGAGTGCGAAAGAATGAACAGTAGCCACTCTGGCAGGGCGCAGCGGCCAAGATATCATTAGTGTCATAGTCGTAGGAGTAATTCGCCGTCATGTTCTCCAAGCTGTAATCGCTCGTGTTCAGTTCCAGGCGGCTGGACTGGAAAAGAGAAACATCAGGTAGTTCAGCCCTGTGCCCCACCCGGTAAGTATTCCTTGGCCACTGGGCGGCACTGTGTGCCCCAGGGGTTCACTCACTGGGTGATGGGGGTGCATTCCTTGGCCACCAGGTCCCGATGCAAGCCCCAGGAATTCACCTATTGGGTGCTGGAGGATGGGGTTCTCTGGACTCCAGGCAGCTCTGTGGGTACCAGGGTTTATACACCGGGTGCTGGAGGGAGGTGTCATTCTTGGGACACCACATGAGGCCAGCATGGGAGTTGAGTAGGGATTATTCCCCCCCCCCCCAGAGTTTATTGGGCCATGTGGCTGTAGGCCTTGGGCAGGGTTGTGCTGCTGAGTTGGGTGGTGCCTTTTGCTGGGGTGATGGCTCTGCTCAGGTGAGCTTACTGATGCAGTACCAGGCCCCTCCATCTCCAGGCTCACTTTAGGGAAAGGAGCAGGAACTACTGGGGCACAAGAACAAGGGGTTGGTATGAAATGCATGTGTGAGCAAAATTTGGAATTTCCATCCCGTGGAAAATTCCAACATCCCCACATTCCCCACAACCTCAAATGAGGCAAAAAGGATGAAATTTTCCATGGAACAGACTTTCTGAAAAATTTCAGTTCCAAAATGTGGCAATGTTTTCTTTCAACATATACAATCAAAATGAAACAGTTCAATATTCCTGAAATCAAAACGCTTCTTTGCAACATTAAACTGCATTTTCCCATAGTGACACATTGCATTATGGGAGTTAAGTTCAGCAGCCTGATACTGCTGTTCTCCCTTGACCCAACTACATTTCCCGTAATGAACCTGAATCATGTGATTCCCATGATGCACCATGCAGCTCAGTCAGATTGCCTTATGAGCAATGTAGTCCTCCAGGGAGCCTGGCTCATAGAAGAGAATGGGGGCCAGGACTACAGCTCCCATAAGTAGGGCCCTACCAAATTCACGGTTCATTTTGGTCAATTTCACGTTCATAGGATTTTTAAAATCATAAATTTCATGATTTCAGCTATTTAAATCTGAAATTTCACAGTGTTGTAATTGTAGGGGTCCTGACCCAAAAACGAGTTGTGTGTGTGTGGGGGGGAGGATTGCAAGGTTATTGTAGGGGGGGGTTGCAGTACTGCTACCCTTACTTCTGCGCTGCTGCTGGGCAGCTGGAGAGCAGTGGCTACTGGCCTGGAGCCCAGCTCTGAAGGCAGACCTGCCGCCAGCAGCAGCGCAGAAGAAAGGATGGCATGGTATGGTATTGCCCAGGGCCGGCTCCAGGCACCAGCCTTCCAAGCAGGCAATCTGCAAGGGGCGGCAGTCCATGTGTTTTTGCCCCCAAGCAGCACGCCGAATTGCCGCCGCGGACGGCGGGGGCAGTCCGTGCGCCGTTACGACCGTTTCCGCGGCGGCAGCAATTCGGCGGCAGCTTCTATGTTCAGCTGTCCACTGCGGCAATTTGGTGGCAGCTTCTGTCTTCTGGTTGAAGCTGCCGCCGAATTGCCACCGCGGAAACACGCGTGCCGCCCTAACGGCGCACTGACTGCCCCCGCTGTCCGCGGCGGCAATTCGGCGCGCTGCTTGGGGCGGCAAAAACAGTAGAGCCGGCCCTGGTATTGCCACCCTTACTTCTGCGTTGCTGCCTTCAGAGCTGGACCCTCAGTCAGCAGCCACCACTCTCTGGCCGCCCAGCTCTGAAGGCAGCAGTGCAGAAGTAAGGGTGGCCTGGTATGGTATTGCCACTCATACGTCTGCGCTGCTGCTACCAGGATGCTGCCTTCAGAGCTGGGCACCTGGCCAACAGCTGCCACTCTCCGGCCGCCCAGCTCTGAATGCAGTGCAGAAGTAAGGGTTGCAATACTGTGCCCCCCAAAAAATAACCTTATGACCTGCCTGCAACTCCCTTTTAGGTCAGGACCCCCAATTTGAGAAATGCTGGTGTCCCCCATGAAATCACACAAAAGACCACATTTTACGGGGGACACCAGATTTCATGGGGGAGACCAGATCTCATGGTCTGTGGCGCGTTTTTCATGGCCGTGAATTTGGTAGGGCCCTACCCATAAGGCAACGTGACAGAGGGAAACAGTTTAATGGGCCATTTAAATCAATGAAACTTTCCAATTTGGCTAGGAATGACCTGCAATGAACTATCGCATTTCAGTTTACTTGACAGAAAATTGAAAATTTTCAGTACAATCAACATTTTCCTGCGAAGAATTTCAATTTTTGAGGAAACTGCATATTTCTGTCAGAAAATCATTGCACCAGAATATTCCCAAACTCTACTTTACAAGGTGCACCATGGAGATCCCTGCTCTGTCCCGGAGATCCCTGCTCCATCCCAGAGATCTCTGTTCCGTCCCGGAGATCCCTGCTCTGTCCCGGAGATCTCTGCTCCATTGAGCAGGTCGTTGGTCGCCCAGACACGGAGACTGTGCAACACTTCCTGCTGCTGGCAAGCACTCTGGTCATACATGTGAGCAACAAGTGTTGCACAGTCCAGCCTGTGGAACCCTCTGGTTTGTGCCATTGTTTTTGGACAAGGAGTTTTAAAGGCTGCGCTCCTATGTCTTGGTCTCTGACCAAGTTCTGCACTGATGGCTCAGAGGGAGCCTCCTCACACCCATTTGCCACATCTGAGTGTTGCCAACTTAGCAACTTTGTCACTAGATTTAGTGACTTTTTGGTTTCCCTAGCAAGAAAATAAGTGTCAAAGTGACCAGTGACAAATCTAGCGACTTTCACTGCCAATTACAGTGACATTCAGATCCTGTAGTAAGGGCTTCATCCCTGGAGGCACGGTGCCCCCCATCCCATTGGGGTACATGGCCCTGTCTCACTCCACCCCACCTTCCATCCGTGCGGCTCTCCTCGCCAGCTAACCTGCCTCGCCCGCCCAGCCCGCTTCATTAGCCGGCTTTCCCTGCTACGGAGCAGAGAGAAAGAACATTTGGGTAAAAACAAGCTCTGGCTAATGTGCTGCTCTTTCCGAAGTGCACCTGGCTTTAGCAAAGTATTTAATTAGCCTCCACAAACTTATTTTCCTCGCTTGCAGATTCCAGTGATCTCAGCCCAAGAAGCCCTGGAATGCGATTCCTTCCGAGGACATGCTCAATTGAGACATGATGACATTGACTTGGTGTGCGGCAGAATGTAGTAAGAAGAGCACGGAATGGCTTTTGTTAACACTGTCGAACTGCTTGTGAATGATTTTGTGACTATACTCGCCAGGGCGCAGATATATATATATATATTCTCTGTTGAATTCTCTGGACATTTTGTTTAGTGACATTTTTGACTCCTTTTGAGTGCTTAAACAGCTACACCTACAACTTTTCAGGGTTTGTCTGGTGACTTCCTGCTATGTGGAATTGGCAACCCCGCAAGTCTGATTCCAGCTGCTGTGGGGTGGAGTTCGACTCCTGGTGCCTCTTCAGTTATGCCCCATCTACCTGGCTGTCCCGCTCAGATACAAACACAGGGTTGTTTCATAGCGAGATGTTTCTCTGTATGAAGCCACATCGCTTAGGGGTAGGGTGACCAGATGTCCCGATTTTATAGGGACAGTCCCGATTTTTGAGTCTTTTTCTTATATAAGCTCCTATTACCCCCCACCCCCGTCCCGATTTTTCACATTTGCTGTCTGGTCACCCTACTTGGGGGCCTGCCTGAAGGAGCCCCCATGGGCCCCCCTGTCCCACTTGGCCCTGCAGCACCATCACTCTAGGTCTCTCATAGACTGCCGCGCCAGGAGGAAGTCCTCCTATTTGTCTCACTCTCACACAGCTTCTGTCTCTGGTTCCTTTTGGCCTCCAAAAGGTCACAAATCCCTGTCCTCTCAGTGTGTCCTTCTCACTGGCTTTTGTGCCAGTCCACTGGGATGCTCCCAGGTCTTCAGTTTCAGGCCAGGCTGACCCTTTTCCTATCCCCTTTTCCACAGACACTTTTCCCCCTGGCTGCATATATGGACCCCGCATTCAAAAACACCTGTCTGCAGAGACAGCAAGGCATAAACCACTAGGAGCCAGATTTATTGGCTGTTTATAGTCGCCTTTGCATTCAATCACTAGGAGCCAGGTTTATTGGCTGTTTATAGTCGCCTTTGCATTCAATTTTCTCCTGCAATATTCACACAAAGTAATTGTGTTTGTGTGGACATGGGCAGTCCTGGCTTGAAAGGTGCAGTCACACATCCTAGTACCTCCTGTTTGATTAATCACCGCAGTGTCATGCTTTTGGACTGGGGTTTTTGGCAGCACCGAGCTGTGCGAATAAGCAGTGTCCCATCTAGACCACATGTAGGCACTGGGCCAAGTTCAAAGACGAATCCAGTCTGATGTAACTTACCCTTTCTCTCAGCCCCTTCAGCACGTCACCCCAACTCCTAGCCTGCTACTCCCATACCCCTCTGCTTCCACATCACCTCTGACCATGGCCCTCTCAATCTAACCAGCTTGCATTGTGACCTACCCTAGCTGAGTCCCCTTTTCTCCTTGGTAAGAAGGTCGGATGGTGCCTGAGTCAATGTGAGGAGCTGTTTTCTGCGTAGGGTGACCAGACGTCTGGATATAAGGGGCTTTGTCTTATATAGGACCCTGTTACTCCTCCCTGCCCCCATCCTGATTCTTCATACTTGCTCTTTGGTAACCCTAGTTCTGCCCGCATTTACACCCGTTTACTGCCACAGTGAGGAGCTGAGGGCCAGGGAGTCTAAGTCACAGCCCCTCGCACCTCACCTCTGAACATCACCCTCTGGAGAAGTGTGGAATGGGCTCGGGGGAGACAGCCAAGGGCCTGTATCTGGACTAGGGAAGGGGCAGTGTGGCGGTCTCCAGGCTGTCTAATGAGAGTGGCGGAGTGGGAGAGGTCTCTGTGGTAAGAGCAGAGGGTGGAGCTTCTAGGCCATACGTGGACAGGAGTGTGAGATGTTGTAGCCAGTGGGCCATGCTGGGTAGCTGGGATGGGGGCAGGGGAGAGGGTTGAATCTCTGG